GAGGAGAACGCAACCTTACTGGCCCAAAGCGAACGGGAAGGGGCCTGGCGCGAAATGGCGAAACAGGTGGCCCATGAGATCAAGAATCCGCTGACACCCATGAAACTCAATATCCAGTATCTCCAGAATGCGTTGAAGAATAAACATCCGCAGGTAGAGGAGCTGGCAGTAAGGGTCAGTAACTCGATCATAGAACAGATCGACAACCTCTCTTACATCGCTTCCGAGTTCTCCAACTTTGCCAAGATGCCGGAGGCCAATCCGGAAGTGCTTGTTTTAAACGAGCTGGTGGGCAATGCCGTTGCTTTATACCAAAACAAAACGGATATTGATGTGATCTTTATTTCCGACGAAACGGAGATGAAGGTCTTAGCCGATAAGAGTCAACTGTTACGCGTGTTTACCAACCTGCTGCAAAATGCCGTGCAGTCGATACCGGTAGAGGAGCGTAATGGAGAAATCGAGATCCGGCTGGAGCAGCAGGAGAAGGATGTGATCTTTTCTATAAAAGACAATGGCATGGGCATCCCCGATGAAATAGCGGAACGGATATTCAAACCTTACTTTACTACCAAATCCTCCGGTACCGGCCTGGGCCTGGCGATGACGCGGAAGATCATAGAACTTTGGAAGGGCAGTATCTGGTTTGAATCTGTAGCAGAAAAGGGCACCACCTTCTTCATCAGGTTGCCGCTAACAGATTAGGACTTCGCTTGGATGGGTGGCCCCTGCCGGCTATTGGATTACCAAACCTGCACCTCGCGCTCCAGCTCAATGCCAAATTTGCTTTGAACCTTACTGATGACTTCTGAAGAAAGGTTCCAGATATCTTCACCTGTTGCCATGCCATAATTGACGAGCACAAGCGCCTGTTTGGCGTGTACGCCTGCAGCGCCTTTACGATAACCTTTTAAGCCGGTTTGCTCTATCAGCCAGCCAGCGGGTACTTTTACATGAAGGGCATCAACCGGGTAAGCGGGCATCAGCGGGAATGCCGATCTTAGTTGCTCATACTGTGTTTTGGAAATAGCCGGGTTTTTAAAGAAGCTGCCTGCATTCCCTATTTCTTTGGGATCCGGCAACTTGCTCTGCCGGATATTGATGACCGCCTGTGCAATGTTCCCAACCGTTGGTACTGCCTGCATACGAGCCAGCTCCTCATTGATCGCGCCATAGCTGGTTCTCAGCTCAGGATGCTTATTTAGCCGGAAGAGCACAGAGGTAATAAGTATCTTATCTTTTAAATCCTGTTTAAAGATGCTGTCTCTGTAGCCAAAGCAGCAATCGCTATTGTGTAAGGTGATGAGTTGTTGCTCGTCCCACGACCAGCCTTCCACGGTTTCAATGGTTTCTTTTACCTCCACCCCATAGGCACCTATATTCTGGATGGGGGCCGCACCGACGGTGCCGGGAATGAGTGCCAGGTTTTCAACACCACCCAGCTTATTGCCAATAGCAAACAACACAAAGTCATGCCATACTTCACCGCCCTGCACCCGCACCCAAACATGATCTTTGTCTTCCCGCTCTACCAGTATGCCTTTTAGCAGATTCCTTACCAGCAACGTATCCACCGGTTTAGTGAGCAATATATTACTGCCGCCACCCAATATCTTTCGCCGTTCTGAAAGCGCCGTGATTTCGGGAAGTTGATCTTTATCACTGAGTGCCACCATGCACGCTGCAGGCACATTCATCCCGAATGTATTGTACGGCTGTAATGAAATATTATGCAGGATATTCATGTACTTATGCAGGATTGAATTTTTGTGAAGGCCGGGCTTCGCCAAAATACCGGATACCCAGTCCGCTGCGGGCGCTGATCTGTAACGTCGCGTCACGGTACTCCAGTCCATCCGCAATATCCTCACTTAATAGCAGCGGGCCGTCAGCATCCATATAATCAACCAGGGGAGAGAGATGTGCCAGGGCAGCGGTGCCAATCGTACTTTCATTCATATTGCCCAGCATCACCTTTAGTCCCAAACCCCTGGCTTCATTGATCATGCGCAGCGCCGGTGTAATGCCCCCACATTTGGTCAGCTTGATATTAATGCCATGAAAATGCTCCGCGCAACGTGCCAC